ATCAATTTTACATAACTCTCATCCAGGTAACAAGTAACATTATAAAAAAAAAAGAGAGAGAAAGTTAACAGAATATTTAAGCAAAATTCTCTTTCAATGAGTTCATGTTAGCTGTAAAGTTTGTGTCATCAGACATGATTTTTTAGTGCTGAAGAAGTAAGATGAATTGTCCTATAATTTCCAGGTCAACTCTTAATGTTCCCTTTAAAAATAGGAGTAATATTAACAACTGTTAAGACCTTAAGCACCAAACCACATTCTAGTGATTTTTAAGAAATAAGAAAGAGGATCTTTGAATATCTGATCTTTGACCTACGTTAAACCCTGGTAAAAGTATCTGGTCTGCATGCTTCACCTGTTTCTAATCCAGTTTTTTTACTTATCATCAAGTGTTAGTACCTACATGATTCAGATCCAGTCCAATATTTCTCATAGAATGCTTTGGTTCAGGAATAATACTAACATCCTCTCATTTCAAAATAGAAGAATAGAAGAAAACATTTAGAAACTTGGCCATCTCATAGTCTCAACAAAAATTTTGCAATCATAATTTTTTAAGTATGTGATCTCTATATTAACAATTATTGTACTTTTAATGTACTTAAAAAAATCTTTATTATTTTCAGTGTTATGAGTAAGATGATCCTCAAACTTTTTATTTTGTTTTGTAATTTCTATTTTAACCAAACCATTAGCTTTCATAAATTCTTGGAAATTTTCCATCCTAACCATGAATTTTAAACTTCTTAATGTTAATGTATTAATTCCCAAGTCTCTGCTCTGAGCCCTTGGTAAGTCAATTAATACAGCATTATTTGACAATCAAGGTTTCCCTTGAGCAACTAATCAGGATGAGGAATAGTGTTTAAATCTTCATTAGTAAAAACTGAAGAAAAAGTAGAAGTTTGTAACCCAGCCACCTCATGATTGTCAGAAATAAGCCTTCCCTTATCATCCCTCAAAGGCCCACTTCCTTTTCTTACATTTTGTGTACCTTTAATGTATTTAAAGAAATCCTTACTGTTCATTCTTACATTTTCAGCTAACATTTTTCCATACACCTGTTTTGATTTCGTAATTTCCTGTTTGACCAATTCTTTTGATTTTATATAGTCTTCTAAGTTTTTCATCACAACAATCAATTTAAGTTTGTCAGATATAAAAGACTGTTTAGTGTAGGTCGTATTTTTAATGTATTTATTTTGTGTTTGCAATCCATTGATGTTGAGGCTATGGAGATTTTTAGAAGACCTAAGTGATAGACATATAAATAGCTGTGATCAAGATGAACAAAAACAGAGTAAAAGTAAAGTCACATGAAAGAGAAGTTTGGTCAGAGAGAAGTTCAAAAAAATCTAAAGTTAACCATCGTGGGAGTGAATAGCCTAACGGCTGGTATGTTAGAGTGAGATTAATAGTTTGAAAGAGATAAGGAGAATAATTTGTTTCATCAAATGGTGTTCTAAATTAATTGAACTCGCCCGTGTGGACTTTGACAAAAGGCAGACGATGATTGGAAGTATGAAAAGCAGATGATTATTGGTAGTTCAGTATACAACCGCAGTAACTCATGCAAAAATGCAAGTGAATTACACAAGGATACTATTGCGATAAAAATAGAGAAAAATATTTAGGCTTGTCAACTGAATTCTAAAGCAATTGAATTGGTCTAAGTGAACTTTTGACAAGAAGAGAACTGTATAGTGTTTAAGATACAACTATGATCTCCATAGTGTAAAGAATTTTGTACATACATTTAACTTGTTTTGAATACATGTATTATTTTAAAACCAAGTGGAGTGTGTGCTGTTTGTTTATTGTTGGATTTATTGCCAACAAGTCGGACACCTACTGAAGAAGAATCCTTAGCCCAACACACCCAATATATTTACATTACTATATATACTACTAAAAGGTAAGTTCCAGACAAAACTTTTGAAATTTATAATGCTTTCCTTTAATTTTCTCCTCATACCCTTTGTGGGCCAACTTGGTCTTTTACTTGCAGTCACCCTTTTATCTGTAAGGAACATGTTTATCTTGAATATTCAAAAATATATTTTTTAATTTGATCAGTTTCTTTAACTCTACTAAGATAGGCCTTATGGGCTTTCCTATGGTCATGGGTTATGTTTGTAGACTTGCATTCAAAAGTTTATTGAACTATTATTTTAAGAATGTATGTCATTAAGTTTGGTGTCAAATTGTAGATTATAATTCAGATTTTAGTATTATACATTAGTTAATTTTTTAATTTAAAATAAGTATTTAAAAATATCCTAAATATAGATTTTGTTGTGTCGCATGGTTTGTTGAATGCAGCTTTGTTTGTGATGTCCAAGTACAAAGTCTATAGTTTCTTATGAATTAGAAACTCAAATTACCAATATTGACAAGCTATAAGATAAGAATCTCCTATCTTTTCTATTTTCTAAGATGTTATATTTAGTGAATCAACCAAGGTGGCTCTGCCCACTTCTTCCATTTTTGATAATACTTGCTTATGTACATTTGCTTTGCCCAATGACATGTGTGTAACCAATCGAAATCTCAGAATGTCCATCACATGGTTTTCTCCGGCTCTGCAAAGTGTTTACACAGGAAACCCTTTCTTTTCCTGCTATAATCCAAGTGATAAGGTAAGACATTATTGAGCTCGAAAAATTGTATATTTTCAGACCCAAATACAGCTTAGTTACTAAGCCTGATAAATTGTAGTTGAATTTGGTGGTATTGATACAGTAATTTATGATTTTTTGTTGTTTCAAAATGCATATATAAAACCTAAAAAATTATTTTATTTTATACCCTCCAAGAGCAAAATTTGATAAGGGTTACCAAATTATGGCTAGTAGAAAGTATGTACAAATTTCGTAATTAGAAGAGATAATTGTTTTCTCTATTTCTTTATTTACTATTCTATGTTTTAAGAAAAATAACTGAAATTTATTAACTTAAAAGTGAAAGTACCTGGCTTCGCTGGTGTTATTAGATGCTTATATCAGTGTGTGTGTTGTGAACCTATTTTAGCATCCCACAGGTGGACATAAGTCTTCTACTCAGAGCTTCTTTTGGTGTATGTGAATGAATCACAGACTTTCTGTTTCAGTTTTGGCAAAAATAATGATTTGCCCATTACGACTTTAGTGACAGGGCTATACATGGGGTGGTTATACTTACCTCATCATTTTTGATGGGCTATATGTCTATAATAAAAGAGCATGTCTGTCTGTTATTTCTATTTGTAATATAAGGAACCACTTATTTTCCGTATGTTTTTTTGCTAGCTTGCCTCATTAAAAAGATACACATGCACGCATACACATGGATAAGTAGTAATACTCAGGTGCACACCTTCAAGGTCCACTTAGTATGGGTGCCAAAGTTCAGGCTTTTAGGTTCTTTCCAATTGAAGCTATGATGGTCACACACATAGACATGCCCTTTTATTATTGTAGATTTGAAAATAGTAATAATGTATGTACATATATAATAAGTGTGACTGTATTTTAAAAAATACTGGTCCACTAGAACAAATCCAAAACAGGTCACTGTGTAAAGACTAGTTTTATATTATTGGATATGGTAACATGAGTGCATGTGCACCATGTCATTCAACTTCTGTAATGTTAAACACTGCTGAAAGGTCAATAAAATAGAAATTATAAATAAATAAATATATACATATATATATATATATGTGTGTGTGTGTGTGTGTGTGGGTTTGTATAATGTTATGAGATTTAAGTTATTTAGTCTAAAAATTTGTGGTTTCATGTTATAATTTGTAGTAATTCTAGAATATAAAAGTATAATTTATATAAATTTCCTAATTTTTTTATGGTGGTTATGAGGTCAACCAAACCCATAAAAATAACAGATAAGATATAAAGTTCTTGTTCTGAAAAAAATGTTTGATAATTATCTGGAAGTTATAGAAATATTGCATGTGAAATTTCACACTTATTAGATGCATAAAAGTATTTTTTTAATCTTAAAATCAAAATTACTTTGGATGTTGGATAGTCAACATTTGAAAATAAAAATGCACAAGCAAATAATTAATTTAAAAATGTTAAAACTTAATTAAAAAGTCTGATACTTTGTGTACAAATGCCTTGTAATGTTTACTGATAATCTGCAAAATTTTGTGAAGATATGTGTACATTTAAAAAAATTACAGTATAACTGCTCTATGATTATTTTGGTGGATACAGGCTGAGTGGACAAGTCACACAGATAATTCTTGCTGCATCCCTTCAAAATTTGTTTTTATGAAATTTGTAACCAAAATATCATCACTCCTGATCTGCATATGCAATAAAACATCAAACCTAATTGAGCAATGATCATTTACACTCAATTGTTCCCCAGTCTCCATCCTCTCAACCATTTATACAGTTAATAATAAATCTAGAATGATATATTCTGTAGCTAGCACCATGGTAATGTGTTACAGAAAGCCACGCTGAATCATTTCAAGAATCCTTTATTTCTCACTACATGACTTCATATGCTCCCACTAGAGTCCAAGTCAATTAGTGGTTTAGGATTAAGCTTCAGTGCTTGATTTGAAAGATAAGTGTTATGAACAATGAAGTTTAATGTAGAGAGTATGTTGAATAAACATACAATACAAAACTACTTCATAAATTATATAAATTTATACCAGTTTCAACTTGCATGTTGCTCAGTTGATATCTAGTGTTAACATCTTTTTTATATAGTGCTTCACTAAATGGTAGACATCATATGAGAATGTATAACATTCACAGAAATGATAGACTATACAATTTGGTGGATTAAGTTGTTGTTTGATTAATAAAAATTCAAGATAATAGAGAATGTAAAACTTGCATATGTTCCTAAAAAGTGTAATCATTAAAGTCAGTTGCATATGGTCATGAAAGAGTTTGTATTTGTATATGCATGTAGTGAAGTATATAGTTTAATTTGTTTCCTTAAAACTGGTTTGAAAGCTAATTTTTCTATACTTTAAGCCTCAATGTTAAGACTGCTGTGGGAGAAGAAATTTTGTTTGACTTTTCCAAGAATTTGATCAATGATGAAGTTCTACAGTTGCTTTTAGAATTGGTAAGATTTTAAAAGTGTCTTTCTTGTAACTTTTGTGCTTATGTAATTTAAGCCTGAATTTGTGACAGCATGACACATACGTAGTAGTTAAAATCTTTATTTATGATACTTTTTTTTGCTATTTTGTTAGCTGTAACAAAAACAATTACCACTTAAATTGATGATTGTAATTAGCAATGTGGTTGTGATAAGAAATTTAATAATTATAGTATATGAGATACTAACATTTTTTATCTGTGTTGTGATTGTGACTACATATCTGTATTTAGCAAATTTTGGGATTGGGCCTTATAGTAACTAAGTTTTTTAATTGTGTTGTGACTATTATATCCATGTCTACATTTTTTAGCAGTGAAAAGATTATGATCTGATGCCCAAATTTTGTAATGTTTCTATTTCAAATAGTTTTTTGGTTTGTACATTACACTGATAAAAAAAAAAGTGCATTTGAAACAATGCCAGCTAAGCTACAAAGTTATTTTTGATATTTAAAATAACTACATAATTCTAACAAGCTGTCACTTTTTTTTAAGTTAATTATAATGATTCTCAAAACTTTGTGAAAAATTGCGGAGACATGTGAACCTGTCTTGAATATTTTTAGAAATTGTAAAAACATGAAGATGGACATGATTTGTACATTTAAAGTCTACTCTAAAGAGCTCTACAAGTTATTGCAGAGAAATCAGAGTTTGGTTAAAATCAAATAAGGCCAACTCAGGATATTTTTCAAAATATGATTTAGTTTCAGTAAATTGTTTAGTTAAGTTAGTGATTTCTTAGCATCTTTATTAGTATTCATATGGTTGTTAAATTTACTTTTGTATTTGTAGGCAAAGTCTCGAAAAGTTGAAGCTGCAAGAGATGCCATGTTTTCAGGAGAAATAATTAACTTCACTGAGAATCGTGCTGTACTACACATTGCTCTTAGAAATATGGCAGGAACTTCAATTATTATAGATGGTCAAGATGTAAGTTGCTTAAACTTCTTGAAATTATCTAAGTAAAATGAGATGAATGTGGGATGTAGTAATATATTCCTTAATTGTAATATTTACACACGCAAAGGGTCGAGTGTTTTATTAAAACAATTTCATATATGCAACTCATAAAGTCACTTGAAAACCACAGCTGGTATAAGGTCACTTTATTTTCCAATCCAATCCATACATGGTGGGAACATAGGTTAATATTTACAGGGGTGGTCTGAAACTTCAGTTTCTCTTCACCCCACTGTGTTATTTAAGATAAATTGACACCTGATTTTGGACAATTTTAGATTATCATGAGGGAAAAGAGTTTTGATATTGGTTTAGCTGATGAGATTGCCTCAAGATAACAGGAGAAGCTGTGAGGATATTTGGAAATAAGATGAAGATAAAGTTGCATTATATTTGCTTACCATGTCTAGGGTACAACTTGTTGCAGGTCTCTTTCTGTGTGGTATTAGTGCACTGAGTTGGCCCAATTTCACTTGTTTTCCAATGTCATTAAGTATAAATGGTATTCCTGTCTTGGAAATTGTAAATCTGGGATCTGAAGACATCTTTAAGATCTGTGTTTATGAATATTTTGCATTGAAAAGGGCTGTTACATACCTTTCCAAAAAAGTGAACAATTTTTGGTGGTATCACACTACCTATGAAACATTATGCAATGTCAAATATAGCTTTGATACATGCCATTCCACTGTGACTTTATATTGGCTGTGTTTATAATGTGAACTGCTGATTTGCATATTCAAAATACTTTTAATATACTCAACCTTGTATAACTATTCAACTAATGATGTGTCTATGACTGAACTTTTTTAATCCTTTAAATTAAAAACAATAAAATTTTCATATTTTCAAAGACAAGTTCACCTAATTCAATAATGCAACTGAAATACATCACAAAATTTTTAAGTGAGGAAGAAGTTTATAATTGATTATAGACAAATGTCCTTTGTTCATGTGTTTAAAATTATTATATTCATGTTTTTGTCATGTTTTAGGTAATGCCGGGTGTTATGAGAGTCCTTAATCACATGCGAGATTTTACAGATTTTGTTAGGAATGGAGAATGGAAAGGATATACTGGAAAACCAATCACTGATGTTGTCAACATTGGAATTGGAGGTTCTGACTTGGTAAACCACGAAGAAAAGACTGTTATTAGTTTAGAGAATGAGGCTATGTTTTCTATTAATCTTATTAAGTATCGTTTGCTTAGCTACTAATTGATGATTAGGTCTAAACAATATGTATAAAACAGTTATTTTTTAATCATGGTATCTTGTATATATTAAGCATGAGTGTAACACTTATTGTAGACCAGCTATTATCAGACTTCTACAATTTTGACTAGAGTTATTTGGTTATTGAAAATATTGTGAATTGCTTAGTTATGAAGATTATCTATTGTGAATTTATAAATAATAAATTTTAAAACATAATTTTAGATTAGTAATAACCCAATCATTGTTTGATTTAACTGAGTAAGTGTATATTATCTGGGGTAATGAGTTTATTCATTTTTCTGACAGGACAGGTTTAGTTTTCTAGAACTTGTCCTCATTCCTTCTTGCTTGTTGTGTTTCTAGTGCAACCTTGTCAGTTTAATGCATGTGTTAAGTAAGGCATAAAACTTACAAATATCACCTGTTAGTTATTTAGGTCTCTTATCTAGATGATATGGTACTATTATTCAGTGGATTATATTAAATCCTTTTTTTTCTTTGAATTTTTGGTCATGATTGAACACGATAACGTGAACCAGTTCTTGTAATTGTTTTATAACTTGTACCTATTATGACACAAATTCTCATTGTTGACTAAAACTGTTTGCTTAACCTTGTCAAGACGGGCCACAGGTGAAAAGCCATGTCATCTCGTTTGTTGACTCGCTTTCAAACTTTTTATTGAACTACTATTTTATGAATTTATGTCAATAAGTTTCATGTCAAACTGTAGATTATAAAACAAATTTTATAACTATACATTACTCAATTTATTCATTTAAAAGTAAATATTAAAAAAACACAGATAACCATCAATTTTTGTGTGTCATGTGGTATGGTGAATACAGCACTGGTTCAAATTAGATGTTTGTAATGTCAAAATATTAAGTCTGTAGTTTCATACGAATTAGAAACTCCAGTTACTGATATTGACAAACTAGAAAATAAAATAAGAATGTCCTATCTTTTCAATTTGCTAAGATATAGCTCATGTAATAAATCAAACGCAGTGCCACCCCACCCACCTCTTTTCATTTTTGGAAACGCTTCTATATATGAGATGAATAACCAATCGGAAGCTCACAATGACCCCTAGTGGCTTTTTCAGCCATTTTAATGAGCTTGGATGCCATTTTTTTCTTTTAAACTAATATTTCAAGGAGATAGTGTGTGTCTTTAGTCTGCTCGAAATTTCATATGTTTTTAGACTAAAATAAATCTTAGTTACTAAACTTAATAAATTATAGTGGAATTCTGTGGTATTGATGTAATAATTTATGATTTTTTAGTTATTCAAATGTATATATAAAACCTAAAAAAATATTTTTTCATATCCTCCACTTGTAAACTTTTTAAAGGCTTAGCAACCTACGTTAAGCAGCAACCGAGTACAAAACTAGTTGAGATAATTGTTTGCTTTACTTCTTTATTTACTGGTCTATATTTTTAG